CGCTACGGGTAAATCATTTGGTACTTTTCCTTGTGACAAAATTGCACCTAGGGCTATATTTGAAGCGTCTGTGGTTAATATAAATGGTTTTGAAAAATCTGGATATTTTAAAATAGGGGCATTAATTAAAAGTTCTTTAAGATGATTAAAAGATTTCTTAAATTCTGGAGTATGTATTACTTTTGCATGTTTCTTTAGACACATTGTTAATGGTTTAGCTATTTTAGCGAAATCTTGGATAAATCTTCTGTAGTATCCCGCTAATCCTAAAAATGACTTTATTTCTTTTTGTGTAGTAGGAATAGGAAAGTTTTTGACTGCATTTATTTTATCTGGATTTGGTCGTACTCCGTCTTTTGTTATAACATGACCTAAATATGCCACTTCTGTTCGTAAAAATTCTGATTTATCTAGTTGTATTTTTAAATTAGATTTTCTTAGTCTTTCAAAAATTGATTTCAGTCTTGTAACATGTTCTTGCAATGATGAGGAAAAAACAATTATATCATCTAAGTATATATAGCAAATTTCATTCTGGTATCCTCTTAATACATTATTCATAACTTTTTGAAAAGTAGCTGGGGCATTTTTCAATCCAAACGGCATACGTAAAAATTCATAATGTCCTGTCTCTGTGGAAAATGCTGTTTTTGGTACATCGGCTGGTTCCATTTCTATCTGATGGAAACCATTTGCTAAATCTAACGTAGTAAAATATTGAGCTCTTCCTAGACCATCTAGAATGTTATCTATTAATGGCAAGGGAAATTTATTTTCTATGGTATTTTCATTTAATTTGCGATAATCTATTACTATTCTATATTTCTTTTGGTTACTTGCATCCATTTTCTTCTCTATTACCCAGATGGGTGAATTAAAAGGCGAATTTGAGTCTTGTATTATTCCATTTTTTAACATATCATTTATTTGTCTACTAACTTCTTTTTATAAACTTCCGGATATCTATAATTCCTTGTGTAAACCGGAGTATCATTAACTAAATCTATTTTATGCTTTATTTCATTCGTAAAACTAAGGGGCGTTCCGTCTATATAAAAAATATCTCTATATTCATAACATAATTTACTTATGGCTTCGTATTCTTCTTCGTTACAATGATTAAGTCTAAGTTTCTTGAGATTTTCTTTTTGTAGATAATCTATTTCTTCTTCTTCTATGTCCATCTCCTCAATATGATATGACTTAATATTATTTAAATTTTCTTCTTGAATATATTCTACATTAAAAGGTTCCGTAAATTTAATTTCCGCTGGAGTTTCTCCTAGGTTACTTATCATAGTAAAAGCGTTGTGATCATTGATATCAATTAAACATGAAGGAATTTCTGCATTTCCGATTTTTGTATAATTTAGTATCGCTGTACCAGATCTTCTGTTAACTGGGACTTTAACTTTTTGAGCAGTTCTTGGTGGTATTATTATTTTACTTGGTTTAAAATATTTTTGTTTCGTTGGGTCTTGTGATGCAAAAAATATGGGAAGAGAAATGGTTGGGGTCTTTAGTTTTGAATCTTTAAAATCAATAATAGCATTGATTTGTGATAAAAAGTTGCATCCTAGCAAACCATCAAAATTAGGAGAGAAATCGAAAAGATAAAATTTATGACAATTTGGATTTCTGAAACTAGGGAATATTGGAATGGTCATAGTTTCATTATGAATTGAAGTAGCTTGTGCAGTATGCACAGCAAATTGCTCAGGAATTATATATTTCGAAAAAAGTTCTCTTGCGAGGTCAGGTCTAAAAAAGCTTTGTTCTGATCCCGTATCTATTAAAAATGTAGCATTAATTTCTGGAATTATTATTTTAGGTAATTTATCATATTGTTTAATCGCATTAAAATTTATGTGGCTGTACTTGTTGAGGCTTGGACTGGAAAATTTTCATCATTATATATTCTTTCATTTTCATTATATCTTCTTAAATTATTATTATTATATATTCTTTCATTATCATTATATCTTTCTTCTCTTACATTATTACTCGTTATTTTATGATTAAATAAATTATTTGGAGAACGTCTATCATTTCTAAAGTTACTTCGTAAACTAAAGTTATTGGAACTTGTATCCATTGGCTCAGGTCGCATTGAATTTCTGCTTTGACTTTGGGTAGGAATAGATGGCTGATATCTAGGTATATTTGGAAATTGTCTTGGAAATTGGTTACTATTATTATTATTAAAACCATTGTTCGAAAAACTTGGACGATTTTGAAAATTATTATTTGGATTTCGGAAAAAATTATTATTTCTGTATTGACTAGAACTTTGGGAAGAATGTCGATTTTGAAAATTATTATAATTAGAAAAATTCTGATTTCGAGAAAAATTTCTATTTGGAAATGAAGAGTGTTGGGAATTAATATTTGAATTTGTATTAGAATTATTATAGGATCGAGAATTATTAAAATTTGAGATTCTCGTATTATTACTTCGATTTTTGAAAGAAATAAAATTTTCTTCTTCTTTAGCGAAAGCCATTGCTTGCTCTATCGAATCAGGATTCTTTAATCTGACTACTAACTGCATGTGATAATTAAGGCCATTTATAAAAGTTTTAAGACAAAGATCTTCATATTGTTGAATTTTTAATATTTTTACATTTAATTGGTCATTAGACATATTAATTTTTGAACAAAGAATGCTTCTAGCATCCTGTATTCTTAACCCAAAATTTTGTGCATTTTCATTTCTTTCTGGTTTCATTGAAATTATATCTTGTACTAAACAATCAATTGATCTCTGATCAGCAAATGTTACTATAAGAGAATCTTTAACTTTTGCCCAAGAATCAAGTTCTGTTCTTGATGCAATAAGGTCTGCTGCTCTGTCAGTTAATTTACTTAAAACAGTATCAAATAGACAAACATTTATAGGATTATTTGCATCTCTATTACTATGATTATTTAAGAAATTTTCACATGATTTAATAAATCTATTTAATTGTTTCGGATTGCCATCAAAATTAGGAATATTATCAGCTTGATATTTAATTAATTGAAAATTAGGTTGAGTCATTTCGTTAAATGTTAAGTTTACTAAATTATCTAAAATATCCTCCACCGTGAATTAAAAAATATATAATATATAGGTAAAAATATGGATATTGGTAAAATAGGAAACACTTACATGAATATTTTCATTTTCTATAGACTTCAGACTATGTTTGTTCCTCCGTCTGCACCAATAGGATTTTGGACGATGCTTGTTCCTTCTCCCTGGTCTTGGCTTCTCCAATAGGTTGTGGACAATGCTTGTTCCTCACCCTGGACGTTTGGCTGTTACCGTACCCGAAAGCTGGATCTTTTCCGTTAATCTTTAAAAAGAAAAATTGTACGCGAAATTCGGCAAGGCTAACACGAACACTTGTACAACTTCGAAAAATCCGAATGACTGCGCCAGTTACGAAAGTCAAAACCGAAAACGGATTTTTAAAAAAATTTATTTTCGTAACAAAATTTATTTTTGAGAACGTACAGTTATGGTAACAACTACAAAACAAAAAGCTCTTAATCTAATTAAACACTGATATATATATATATATTATATATATATATATATATATATATATATATATATATATATAGTCTTTCTATATGTCGTCACACATTGGATAATCCAGGGACGTACTCGGCGCACTATAAAAACTCGTCACATTGCACGTAAAAAAACTTTAAACAATAAAGTGTACAGATAAAAACAAAAAATTGACAAAATACACCGGCACAGAGCTGTTGTTATAACAAAGTTAACATTTAAAAAAGATTTTATACTGCGCCCTAAAGTGAAGTATATTTCGGTATCTGCCAGTCTATTTTATTCTAATGCTTTCTCTGTAATCTGTTTTATGACGAATATTGCATCTGTACACGACCTTCCTGTACGGAAATCTTATAGCTCATCTGCTAAATTTATGAGCTGGTTTATTCATTCTTGCAAAATTTTAGTTGTATGCCTCATGGTAGTATTTAGCAAATTAATACTTCTGTAGTTTTATAATTGTTTCTTATCGCCCTTTCTGAATAATAAGATTAGTTCGCTTGTCATCCCTTCTTCTAGTATTTTATCGTGTCTTGTTAATTAATGTTGTCAGTTAATACGGCATGGCCGCTCCACCATATTTCACTTTACCTGCATTTTTGTGTTCTTTAGTTTTTAAGTGTTTTTTTTGTACTTCTGGCTTGCTTATGTGATCTTCTTCGTTTATGGTAATTTCTTGTGTTTGTGATTCCAACATCATTTAATGTTCCTCTTTACAAATCTTCTTCAGATAGTCAATATGTGCATCCTTTTCGATGTGTTTCGGGTCTATTAATTCATTCACCTCCGCTGTTTGACCTGTTATAAATTTCCATATTTCTTTCTGTAAACCATAAAAATCATGATTCAGTTCTTTTGAGAAGCATCCCCAGTGTTTGTTCTTAATTTTTCTTATAAGTACATGTTCCAGTTTCGTGTCTTATTTTCTTGTAATCTTGTTGTCTTGATTGACATGTACTTCACGTAAGCTTTTTTCTTTTTTTGTTGGTGAAAGAGAATGGGCTACCGGTTTCGCTGTGTACGAACTTTTACAGCATCACCGGCATCAAGAAACTAAGGCTAAAATATATCGTGTATATAAACAAACGTGTATATGACAAAACAAATAAAAAATTATTTGAGTAATATAGAGGATTAATCAATAATCAGTCAATTACGACGAGTAGATAGAATAAAATAGAATAGAAATATGTCCGAAATATGTTCGATAAACCTGCTTCACTCTAATGTTAACTGTGAGTCATTTAATAAAATAAAATAATGTAATAAATTAATAATAAAGATAAATGAATGAAAGAAAATACTTACATATCAATACAATACTAATCCATACATCTAATATAACGTGTTACATTTGATGTATGGATTACACCTCTTCATCACAAATTCTATATATATAACATGATTCAATAAATAATTAAAATTATTAACATTTTAGGGGAGGACCAACAGATTTCAGACCAGTTATCCATTACAGAGATCTAGACGCCCCAAGAGAACCAGAGGAATTTATTTGATTGATGTATTTGTTTTAATATTAGGTGACAGTTTTTGATTAATTTGCTTCTTTCTAAAGATATCTAGAGGAATTTTTTTCCAATGATAGTGTATTATTTCAGGATGAGTTTTATATCGATTATGCTTTTAGTAGTTAATAAAGTATTCACATACTGATTTTTTTATTTTGCTTACGAAATGATCTTTTTAAATTTTATTGAGTAGCGTTCAAAATAAACAAGAGATTTTGGGTCTACCACTGAATACAAAGAGAATCAAATTTACTTTAATTTTAAAGAAATATCAATAACATAAATTTATATGTAAACGAATAAGTCAAATGAATACATATAAGAAAAACGAATGAGGATAGAGATCTGAAAAGCTTTCAAAAATTTACTACTAGTCCTGTGTAGTCACGAGTAATATGCCATAGATAATTTAAATATTATTTATATGGAATTAAAGCATAATTTAATTGTAATGAAAATTAAACTCTATAATTTTTATTTCGTTTCGATTTCCACTCTGGAAATCATTTTTAAAAGATTATTTTAAAAAGTATGGAGGTTGTTTCAACCTGTCGATTATTGGCGCTTTATTATACCAATTTGGCAGATGTCTTAATTGGCCTCGATCTTGTAGGCATGTATGGGATAGCCATATTTTTGAGTTGAAAATTCGAAGGGTGGTAATTTCACCCTTGGATTAAGATTATGGGCAAACCTAAAAGCTTACAGGTAGTGCCACAGAAGCAATAGGAGAAAGAACAACAATTAACAAAAACAGATAAAAAAAACAATAAACCGTGGTGTACACATGAACTCAAGAGCAGCTAAGGAAGACTAAATACATGAACTCAAGAGCAGCTAAGGAAGACTAAATACCTACATAAATACATGAACAAGAAGAACCCAGGGATATACGAAATTTACAAAGAAGTTAGAAACAGAATGAACTGAGAGATAAAGAAACTAAACTAAATAAAAACATACTGGAAAATATTCTCAGAAAAAATGGAGCATGATATGAATGGAGGTCAAAAGAAGGTACGAAATATACTAAGAGGAAGAAAGAAGAAAATCAATGAGCAAATTCAAGTAAACAATATAAAACCAGAAACCTGGACAGAATACTTTAATAATCTGTATAATGAGACCGATATATACACCGAAGAACAAGACCAAAGTAACATAGATATTGACAGTGACGAAGATGTAACTAGTAAAGAGGTACAGTTGCGGTCACGGAATAGTTTACAGGTTCACGTATCTAGGAGCCCATTTTTTAAATTTTTACTTCGTTTAAACGCACCTTTTACGTCAAAGTGACGTTGCCAGTGGTGTACTAGCTAGAATAGGTAGATTAAAATTAAAATATCAAAATATTTTACAAAATGAAAAATATAGAAAACAGTTTTTTGAATAAAATGGATTATGATCTTAATAACGAAAATAAAGAAGTCTTTTTTTTTAATATGCATTTTATTTTAAATATATTTTATATTAAATAACGATAAACAATGATAAATAATAATTAATATTTGGTGGAAGCCCCATTCTTGTCAATACATTTTTGCAGTCTTCTGTTCATAGATAGCACCAATCCCCTCATGTTATAGTTAACAAGCTCTTCCCATGCCTGCTCAATTGCTTCCCATAATTCAATTCTATTCCGTGGTCTAAGGTTTCTTTCATTTAGTTTCTTTGTTAACTCTGCCCACACATTTTCGACGGGTTAAAGTCTGCACTACGGGAAGGCCACGGAAGAACATTAACATCAGTTTCTTCTAGCCATTCTCGAACAATTCTACTCGTATGCACCGGGCAATTGTCATGTTGGAAGATAAAGTCGTTGTTGGGGAATCTCTGGATCACCGATGGCAACATTGTGTGCTCAATAATATGTTTGTAATATAATCCTGTTAACTTCTCCTCTACATGATAACAAACGCCCGGGCCTTCGGCACTTATCCATCCCCATACGTTGACAGAGAATCCTCCACTATTTCTTAAATGATGCGTATACTGTTCATCATACCTATGATTTCTCGGCCTATAAACTCTTATTCGACCATTATTATACGACTGAAATACTTTTTCATCGGAAAATACAACCCTAGACCAAAATTCTCATCGCGGTTTATAAATTCATTACAAAATTCAACTCGTCTCCTCTTGTGATCCTCAGTCAAAAAAGGTTTCCGTGCAGCTACACAATTTAGCAGTCCACTTGCTTTAATTCTTCGACGTGCAGTGCGAATACTGCCTGGAAACGCTGCCTCTTCTCTTGCCTTTTGAGCTGTGGCAAAAGGAGATTCTCTCAAATAATCTACTAACATCTCATCCTGTTGATCTGTGGAAATCTTCTGCCCTCCTGAACTGCCCAACCGTGCTATAGAGTGAAAATTATCCCATCTTTGTTTAATCTTCCATATGCACATATGACTCACGTTCAAATCAGCAGCATCTTGCCTTAGTGACCAACCTTCTTCGAGTTTGGCAATTGCTCTTGCTTTTTGCGCATAATTCAAATGTATTCTAACCATTTTGGAAGAGTTTAATATACTTTTATTTTATTGTTGAACACTCGCGAAAGCATTGACGTTTTGAAATTTTTTGACTTTGACATTTATCAAATCCGTACGACACTGCAATTTTACAGTATTACAATATAAAAAGTAAGGTGTAAACTATTCCGTGACCGCAACTGTACAAATAGCAATCTGAAATAATGCTGTCAATAACGAGCAAAGAAATTTCAAAAAATATTAAGAATATAAGTACTATACCAGAAGAATAGAGAATAAGTATAATAATACCAATATACAAAAGATGACTAAAAACCTACCCACATAATTACAGATCAATAACGATGCTCCAGTCTACATCAAAATTGTTAACAAAAATGTCATAGAAATTAATTACCACCGTAATCGTATGAGAAGAACAACAAGGATTCAGGACCAATAGACTTACAACCAACAAGATCTTCATATTACGGCAACTAGTGGAGAAGTCCATAGAGTTCAACAAATCTTTTTTCTTTGATTTGTAAATCTCGCAAAAGCGTTTTACGGAGTCCAATTAAAAGATATAATCCAAATCATGAAGCAGAAAATCGTCAATAAAAAAACATGGCAATAATCATCCAACTTAACAGCCGCAATAAACAAGAATAAAAACAACATGAACAGGTCAAAGAAATAAACGTGACAGCAGAAATCATGCAGGGGGATAGCCTCAGTCGGAACAAGATCATGGACAATATAATGAAACCGACCAACTAAATGAAATTGTAAATAAAACCAACATTGGCTAAAAATGGGAAACTAAGCTTTGAGTATTCTCTGCTATGCGGATGGTGCAATAATCATGGCAGAAAATGAAGATGACCTCCATCGCCTATAGTTCGTCAAATATAGTTGAAAAGTGAAAACGCGTGACGATCATGATGCGCATTCGTCAAACGACGGACCTCGCACTCGCACTGACGGTCCAGACCGTTTGTATGTGCGTTCTCACTTCATTGTTAGCGCAGGCAATGGGAATTTCACACTTTCAGCTATATTTGGTGAACTATACAGATTCAATATAAGCTTCTTCTCAGAACCTTCTGTCAGTGCGTCACAGTTGTTCGATTTCTTTCTAACGTTGGATGTGACGGAAAAAGCGATAATTTCCTGATTAAACAGAAAAATATTACATACGCGGTATATTTCTAACCTACGTTTGATTCGTTGTTATTAAAAATGCGCGCTTTCTAAAGTCAATCAATTACGCGAATTACGAACATTTGACGTAAAACTTCATCCATGTTGGTCATCCTTTTAAAGTGTAAAAGAGTGGCTGTTGTCGTTCAGGTCAGTATTTGACATTATTTCAGAGATCTATGCATGGCCTGGAATCTTATATGAATGACTTGGTTCATTCCCCCATCACTTTGACCCCAGCGAGTTAATAAAGAGAAATGACAGCCTATCTCTCTCACGAAGACTTTAACCAATCATAAACCAAATAAAATAATCAAACGAAGCAATGTCAATTCTGTCAATCCAAATTAATGACAGATCTTCCGTTTGTTTACAAGTTTTCAATTTTATTTTATTATCTTTAACTTTCGTTTGCATTTATTCTTAGTAATTTTAATTTAAATTTGGTTACTTAATTTTTAAAGTTTATTTTGACTTACCTATTGTAGCAAAGAATTTTTGTGTTGTGCTAGTAACAAAACTAAACATGGTGAATTATTGTATTGTTCGTTGTGTACAAATCATGGAAAAATTACAAAAAGAATGATAGTAAGTTGTCAGGAAGCAAAAAATAATAGTATTTAACTTCTGCAAATATGTGTAATAAATATTATGTAATTATTTTATAACTGTTTTATCTTAAACAACAAATAAATATACGTATATCTAGAAAAAATTGTGCATCTTATATCCTTATTTTCCAATAAATTTTAATTAGTAACGAAATAGCCCACAAGAGGCGCTAAAGGGTATGTATGTAAGGGGTGTTCATTCGAATTTGCCGCCAAAAGATGATTAGTATTGACCCCAGCCGCAAGGGGCCTAATGAACGAAATTTATACATTGAGTTGCCTATCTATTTCTACTATTATATTATTTTATCTATGGATCTATGCATTATTTTGTGTTTTGGATTATTTATTTTTTCAATAAAATATTTTAGAAATGCCAAGTAATACGAAAAAAGGAACAAATACTGATACTCAAATTACTTAACTATTTTCTATTAGAAAAGGAAGTTGGAGAAATTTCTGCTGTTCGTGAAGAGAGGTTAATATTTTATGGCAAATGAAGGTATTCAAAAAGATTCTAATTATTCCATCACAATGAGCGAATCAGTAGCCACTAGTCTTAAACCCGAGTTGTTAATATGTAAACGAATCGAATCAATTATTTATTATTGTAATTTTATATTATCTAATCTAATCGATTATTGAATCAAATCAAATATCGAACTTAATTGATCATCAAATCTAATCGAATCGATTTTATTAAATCTAATCGATTATAGAATGAAATATAATCAACATACAATAAAATAAAATACGATCAAATCGAATTGAATCGGAATCGAATAGACTATCGAATTTATTATCGAACCGAATCTGTTATGGAGTCGATTATCGAATCGAATAGAAATAAAGTA